CAAATATTTATTTAAATTCTGGCCCATTTAATTGCCAAACCTTTCAAATTCTTCATCAGTATGTGAATGAGCTTGAAAATAAGTATATCAGATACTACCACTTAATAATGGAGAAAGTAGAGCAACCATTGAACATTTTTAATATGTTTTTTATAATTGGTTTTTTAAGAGAATGATTTCTTCTACAAGGGATCAAGCCTACCATCCCATGTGTGTGCCCTGACCAGGAATCAAACCAGGGGACTCTTGATTCATGGATCTATGTTCAACCACTGAGCCACACCCGCCGCGTCCATTGAGCATTTTTAAGAGCTCTGATTATCCCTGCCTTGTAGCACTTTAACTCTCAACTCATTGGGCTCAATAACATTTATGTTTTTACTTTTAAAAGGGTAAAGCTAGTATACACACCCCTTACACAGCAAAGGTGTTCAGTAAATGCCGAGTTAAAGCTTGACATGTATTGTATAAAGCTATTTCCTTGAAAGATTGTAAAAGTCAATTGCACTGACAATATTATTCTAAAGTTTTCAGGAAAACCAAACATTGCACTTAGTATTTCCTGTCAAAATCCCTAAAAAAAAAAAAAAAAAAAAGCTTTACATGTTGTATGTTACTCCCATACATATCTATGTAAGAACACACATGCACCCAATTGCATAAATTTGTCCTTTTTAATTTTGCCTCATGTTAACCCAATAAATTTAATAAAATTAAAAATTGAAAAAAATAAATGAATGGTACTATGTCAAATTAAAAAGCTTCTGCTTAGCAAACCAAACTGAATACAAAACGAAGAGACAACCAAACATATGGGAGAAGGTATTTGCAAACTGTAGCTCTGAAAAAGGTTTAATTCCCAAAATATGTAAAGAACTCATAAAACTCAACACCAAACAAACAAATAATCCAATAAGTGGGCAGAAGACCTGAAAATAGACCTCTCCCAGGAAGACATATAAACAGTCAATAGATATATGAAAAGATGTTCAACCTCACTGGCAATCAGGGAAATGAAAATCAAAACTACAATGATATACCACCTCACACCTGTTAGAGTGGCCATTATCAACAAAACAAGCAATAACACATTTTGGAGAGGTTGTGGGTAAAAAGGGAACCCTCATTCACTGCTGATAGGAATTTAGACTGGTATAGCAACTATGGAAAGCAGTCTGGAAATTCCTCAAACAAATAAGAAAAGAACTACCACACAACCCAGCAATCCCTCTCCTGGGTATATACTCAAAATCATGCATTCACAAAGATATATGTGCACCTATGTTCATTGCAGCATTATCCACAGTGGCCAAGACATGAAAACAACTGAAGTGTCCCATGATAGAGGACTGGATAAAGATGTGGTACATATACACAATGGAATAGTTCTTAGCCATAAGAAATGATAAAATAGGGCCATTTTTAACGAATTCACCTTGAAAATATTATGCCAAGTAAAATGTCAGTCAGAAAAAGTAAAGAACCATATGATTTCACTAATAAGTGGAATATAAAACTGAAACTTGAGAACACAAACAGCAGTGCGGTGATTGTCAGATGGAAGGAGGTGTGTGCAGCCGTGGTAGGGGGCGTCCTAATATAAGGTGACAGGAGATTTGACTTTGGGTGATGAGCACATGGTGCAATATACAGATCTTGTAACACAGAAGACCACACTTGAAACCTATACTTTAATGTTGAGCAATGTCACCCCAATAAGAACCATTATCTCAAATACCTGTCATATATGTTTTTCTAGTCATAATAATGACAATGTTCCACCAATTGGATTGTATAATTAAATCAACCCTCTGTATCCGACACATACCAAAAACAAACAGAAAGGCTCCTGGTCACCAAATCCAGCTGTGTTCTCTGAGAGCTATCCTTTCCAAGCTTTACATGATATCTGATACAATCAGATTTAAGCACACTCCTCTCTTATCTTTGATAACTTTTTGGCCTTTTGGTCTCCTCTCACCTTCTTCCCTGTCAACTTGTCTGAATGCCATTTGATCAGCAACACTCAGTGTGAACTGAGGACCAGCAGCTATCATTTGGAAACTTGTTAGTAATGAAAAGTCTCAGGCAGCATCCCATACAACAGAAACTCTGGGCGTGGGGCCCAGAGATCTGCACATTCTTATGATTATTGTGCACACTGATGTTTGAAAACCACTGTATTAAATCACTTGTTGAAGATATATGGGAGGAATCTACAAATATAGGACTGGAACTTGAACAGGATGGGAGATGTTAATACAGCCACATTTTGAAGTTAATGGCTACTGAAATTGTTTCTTATAAGAAACAGCAAATAAAAGTAGCTACTATGAGTGGGTGTGGGGTGGGGATTGGAATGGGAGGTTGAGGACAAATATGTGATACCTTAATCAATAAAGAAAATTTTAAAAAGTAGCTACTCTTTTAGGTATTATGATGCCATGCTTTGATATTATGATAAGATGATAATATAACTGATATTTGCATCAGGTATTATAATTACATTTTACAGGTGAAGAAACTGAGACTTAGAAAAGGAAGTTTAATATGTTGCCTTCAAATTCCATGCCCTTGACCACCATATTATTGTCTCTTGCATAAAGTGGGAAATAAAGTATTGCACAGAACCCTATGAAGAAGACTCAGCAGAAATGACTGAGGTTGACTAGTCAAAGAATTGAGGAAAACCCAAAAATATGGGAAGGAAATCTCGGTGAGGAAAGTTTTAAGAAGAAAGCTATAATCACAGTGGTTTGGATTTTTTTCAGTGAGTCTAAAGACCACAGAAAATGTAGAACTTAAAAAAAACTTCCATGAAGAAAAAGTGCTTTACATTTAGGTAGAGAGGGACAAATTAAGTGGGGGGGGGGGGGGGGGGGGGGATGAAAGTGACTAACAGCCAAATAGGTTTTCTGCTTTTCAGGCACAGAAACCGTTCACTTAACGCTTGGGTTGGAGGGAACTGCCTTTAAATACATTTCAGATCTGAAAGTATAAATTTATAAAACAGAATTCATAATCAAGGGAAAGGGGTGGAAGAGGAAGAAGTTCAATTTTTGTTGTATTGTTAAACAAATCAGTAAAAAAATCAAGATTTATGTTTAAGAGCACATATATTATTTTTCATAACGATGCTCAGCCTGAAAATGAAAGCCATATAATCTAATCAAATATTACATTTGCCCTAGTGTTTTGCATTCCCAAAACCATTTTAAGGGTTCAAAAGTGAGTCTGCCCAAGAATTTGGCAGCACCTCCACACACCTACACACACACACACACACACACAAACACAATAATCCACTCTTGATTTAAACAATCAACAGCACCCTAATCAACTTTTCACTTCCCCTTACTGAAGCACCTTCATAGTCTTCAAAATCTAGCTTTATTTATATTACTAGAGGCCGGGTGCATGGAATTCGTGCACTGGAGGGGGGCGTCCCTCAGCCTAGCCTGCACCCTCTCCGATCTGGGATCCCTCGAGAGATATCCAACTGCCAGTTGGACATCTCTCTCACAATCCAGGACTGCTGGCTCCCAACCACTTGCCTGTCTGCCTGCCTGATAGCTCCCTAACCACTCTCCTGCCAGCCTGATCAACACCTAACTGTTCCTCTGCCAGCCCTAACTGCCCTCTCCTAACTGCCCTCTCCTGCCAGCCCGGTCACCCCTAATGGCTCTCCCTTGCCAACTTGGTTGCCCCTAACTGCCCTCCCCAGCCGGCCTGGTGGCCTCCAACTGTCCTCCCCTGCAGGCCTGGTCACCCCCTACTGCCCTCCCTTGCAGGCCTGGTACCCCCAACTGCCCTCCCCTGCAGGCCTGGTTCCCTTCCAACTGCCCTCCCCTGCAGGCCTGGTCGCCCCCAAATTCCCTCCTCTGTCAACCCAGTCATCTCTAACTGCCCTCCCCTGTAGGCCTGATTGCTCCCAACTGCCCTCCCCTGCTGGCCATTTTGTGGCGGCTATTGTGTTGGAGTGATGGTTTATTTGTATATTATCTCTATTATATAAGATGGCTATCACAAGGCATTAATTTAGCTCTAAGTTTTAACACCACCTCTTCACCCTTTCCTTCAATTATTTCCTCTTAAATGCTATTAGTTTCACTTTTCTCCTGACGGGACATTTAAAGACTACTTCAACAGCCCAATGACAAAACCAGAGGCTGCAGCCTGAGTATGAATACAAATTCCCAATCCTATCTCCCTCTCAAGACTGTTCCTACCACTGAGCAACATCAGTGAACCAGGAAGAGGGGGGCGGGGGGAGGGCTGAGGCAAGGACTTTCCCTTCCTTCCACTTCCTCCCATGCCTGCTCCCCTGCTCCCCAAAGCCCAGGACCAAAGAAGGACTTCATTCTAACCCCATCCACGGACCCGCCTCCACTGTCACCCGCCATAGCTTAGAAAACAGCCATCGCCTTTGTTAACATGTCCATGATCACAATGCGCCAGAAGATGGGCACATTCTCTGGGACCGGGAGAAGGAAAGTCACAAGAATGCTGTGCTCTCCTTGGCACTATCCTGGAGTGACAGCCCATGTCCCTTAAATCCTCTCCCCAGCGAAGAAGAACGTTCTTGGTAACTGCACTCTGAGACGACAGAGCGGGGGAAGGGATGGCCTAGGACACTGCTCAGGGGCACCAAGCAGAGGTACTGAACTTGAAGCTAGGACACTCTCCAGCCCCCTTAACAAGCCTCGCGGTCCTGCCAAACCTGAGCACACACTTCCAGCCTGTGGAGCCCTTTCCTTTAATTTTTCTCCTCACACACACCCACACCCGCTCCCGCCACCAGGCACTATGCTTCCCCAGAGGCCCGTCCCCTGGACACTCCCAGGCAGCGCAGCCAACCCTGCTGCCGCCTGTCTGGCCTATTTCTCCTTACAGGACCCAAGCTACCCGAAACAGTCACCCGCACCCACCCCAAACCCTCTCGGGAAGTTCAGCCTGAACCTCGTTCCTCCGCGGCGAGCCCCCAAGGCCACCTCACTCACCAGGGGCCGCTACTCCCAGCTCTGCGAATCACCAGCTGCGCCTGCGTGCTCCCAACGCCTCCCAACCCAGTTGCAGTCCGAGCTGATGGGCCGGGCGGAGGGGGGAGGGCAGGGCGGGGTTAGGAGGGGGCTGGGCCTGGCGAAGGGGCGGGGCCTCCTCTGTCCTGGTATAGAAGACTAAGGGTTATAGGAGTCAGGCTTGAGGTCTGTTTATAACACTGGCAGAGAAGTCATAGAGGTTCCCTCCACACTCAATGTCTAGAAAGCTTGGCTTAGTTGAGCCACCTGGAGCCACCTTGGATCCTCCCTAGCCTTTCACTCTTTTGCATGCCTATTTCCCCACACCTTATCCACCCTACCCCAGGGCATTTTCCTTATCTTTGGCAGTCCTCAGCCATCCAGAGGTGAGGGACATGGAGATTTTTCACCCACAAATCGCCTAGTGTATCCTAGTTAACATGTCTTTGCCGTATGAGAGCCCAGAACTTGGTTGGTAACCATACAACCACAACCCAGAGTTACAACTCAGCTCTTACCATAAAAAACAAATTATAATGTTGCTCTTTTTACACTTGTGACAGTGATCTGCTTTTTTCTTAAAAGGAGTTTTGTACATATCTGAATATCTGGAGAAGAAGAACATGAGTTGTCAAATAAGATCTATCTTTGACCGTGTATTTTAGGTAGCTACCTTAGAATTTGAGCCTTCTAAAACCCCTCTGAGAAACAGAATACTTGGCCTGTGTTGTTGTTTGGACTTTGCTCTAATGGCTACAGGTTTTCTGGCATTTAGCATTTTAGGAAGTCTAACTTTATTATTCCATGCTTCATGTGTGCTTAGTTTTTAAGTTCTATAATTTTATGCTCAGAATCTGGTTAGCTGTGAGATCTCACATGCCTTCAGAACAGCTATTAAAAGAAAATACACTTGAGTGAATCCAAAATGAATTGGTCTGTGGGCCTGAAGTGATTTCTTCCAAATTATTTTCCCTTCTTTTTACTTTAGTTATGATAAAATTGAGAAACATTTGTCTTATTAAGAATAAAGGAATTGCCACCAATAGTCCTTCCAAGTAGGTATTTTGGCTTTGATGGGAGCATTTGGGGGTGAGGTGGGGGTAAAGAGCCTGGTAATTACCATTAAATATGTGAATATCTTGAAATTCTTCCCATTAAACATTTGTGGTCCTTGCATTTCTGTATTTTATGAGCCAGGCTTTCTTTTTTTTTTTTTTTCTTTTTTTCAAATCCTCACTCAAGGATATTTCCACTGCTTAGAGAGAGAGAGAGAGAGAAAGAGAAATTGATTAGCTGCCTCTCACATGAGCCCAGACAGGGGAATCAAATCTGCAACCTAGTAATATGCCTTCACTGGGAATTGAACCTGCAACCTTTTGGTGTATGGAGACCTTGACACTCCAACCAATTGAGCCACCTGGCTAGGGCTGAACCAGACTTTCCTGAGCTCATTTTTATTTCCCATCCTATATAATAAAGAAGTTATATGAAAATTGACCCTCATGTCCTCACAAGATGGCTGCCCACGACCAGGCTGGCTGGGGGTTAGTGAGGGACAACCAAAAGACTGAATAGAAGGCTTCCTGGGGCGACCTGGTGAGCAGGGGGGGGGGGGGCAGTAAGGGGTGACCAGCCCGGCGGCGGGGGGCATTTAGGAACAATCAGGTCAGCAGGGAGGGGGCAGTTGGGGTACCTGGTCAGCAGCAGGGGGCAGTTAGGGGCAACCAGGCCAGTAGGGGGACAGTGAAGGGCGATCAGGCTAACATGGGGAGGCAGTTAGGGGCAATCAGGCAGGCAGGCAGGTGAGCAATTAGGAACCAGGGTTCCAGGATGGAGAGAAGGATGTCTGACTGCCAGTTTAGGCCTGATTTCTGGGATTGGACCTAAATCAGCAGTTGGACATTCCTCAAGGGGTGCTGGTTTGGAAAGGGTACAGGCTGGGCTGAGGGGACCCCCCCCCCATCCACGAATTTCGTGCAGTGGGTCTCTAGTATGTCAAATAAGCATAAGGGATTGCAGTGAGGACAGATTGCGAGAAGGTATGTATATTGGTAAATGTAGATACAGACTCTGGAGGGTGATGAAAAAATCAATCTGTGTCAGGCCTTGTCCTATTCATTTCACTAATAAAATGTTTCACATACAGAAAGTGCTATTAAAAAAAAACATTGGGTTAATAGATAATTTTTGCATTCATTTTTAAATATATATATTTTATTGATTATTAAGAGGGAGAAAGACAAAAATATCAATGAGAGAATCATTGACCAAATGCTTCTTATATGGATCAAGCCCACAACTCAGGCATGTGCCTGACTAGGAATCAAACCATGACCTCCTAGTTCATAAGTCAATGCTCAACCATTGAGCTACACCAGACGGGCAATTTTTGAATTCTTAATAAGTGTGATTACTGGTTTTATTTTCTTATTTTATGTCTGAGTTTATCAGGATATTTTATTTGAAGTGCCTTAGGCAAAAGAGAAAGTTATTGTGCAACCCAAAGTTTCAAAAGAACAAGTCTATGATTGGCCTTAGGAATAAACTGAACTAGTAACTGGAATGCTTAAAATTCCAGGTTAGACTTTCAACCTGGCTTCTCCCAGTAGAGTCATTCATTCAAAACCTCTGAATGTCATGTACTATAGGCTTAGAAGCATAACCTCTAGCAAATCGAGGGCTCACACCAAGTTGTAAAGAGACAGAAAGTGCCTCTCTTCCCTGAGCTCCAATTTCTATACCACCATATAAAGAGCAAGATTGGGTGAGATTGCATAACAACCATTTTTCGAGAAAAAAGTGCATGTGGGACATAAGAATGATACCACTAGTGGAACCACATAGTTAGAGAAAAATATGGTGGAGAGAAAATTCCTAAATGAAAAAAGAGTGTGAGGGAGATGCTCTTTCAGAAGAAGATAAAAGTGCTGGACACACACACACACACACACACACACACAATGTTCACTATGGAACAGCTCTATTTAAGGAATACAACATTAGAATTACCTTTTATCTCTCTTATTCAAGTATTCAAGTATTAACCAGCCTTCTTAATAATGTCTCTGTATTGGTTTTCTGTGGCTACTATAAAAAGATTTGCCACAAACTTATTGGATTAATACAACACAAATTTATCATAGCTCTAGAGGTCAGAAGTCTAAAAAGGGTCATACTGAGCTAAAATCAAGGTGTCAGCAGAGTTGAGTTCCTTAATGGATGCACTAAAAGAGAATCTTTTAAAAAATATTTATTGTTCAGAGTATTACAGATCTACCCTTTTTTCTCCCCATTGCCCCCTTCACCTGGTTCCCACATCACCCCCGACCGTAGGTAAAATCTTTGGTTAATATCTTCCTGCCCCCCAACCCCCTTGTATCTGTGATTTGTCAAACTGTTCCATACTTCTATGGCTCTGATTCTATTTTATTCACCGGTTTATTTTTTCATTACATTTGTTAGTTTATTTTCATTTTTAGATTCAATTGTTGATAGATATGTATTTATTGTCATTTTATTGTTCATATTTTTTATCCATTCTTCCTCCTCCTCCTCTTCCCTCTCCTCCTCCTTTTCTTAAAGAATACCCTTCAGAATTTCATGTAATACTGGTTTGTTGGTGATGAACTCACTTAGCTTTTCCTTGTCTGTGAACCTCTTTATCTGACCTTCAATTCTAAATGATAACTTTGCTGGGGAGAGTAATCTTGGTTGCAAGTGCTTACTATTAATCATGTTGAATATTTCTTGCCACACTTTTCTGGCCAGGAAAGTTTCTGTTGAGATAACTTGTAGGTAACTAACTGATTTTCTCTTGCTGCTTTGAAGATCTCTCTTTGTCTCTTTAACCCTTGCCATTTTAATTATGATGTGTCTTGGTGTTTGCCTCTTTGAATTTCTCTTATTTGGAACTCTCTGCACTTCCTGGGCTTGTAAGTCTATTTCTTTCACCAGGTAGGGGAAATATTTTGTCATTATTTCTTCAATTAGGTTCGCAATATCTTGCTCTCTCTCATCTCTTTCTGGCACCCCATTATGTACATGTGGGTATGCTTGAAATTGTCCCACAGGATTCTTAAACTATCTTCACTTTTTTTGTTCTTTTGCTTGGATTTTTTGCTTCCTCATATTTCAAATCATGGACCTGACTCTCTGAATCCTCTACTCTATTGTTGAATCTCCGTAAATTATTCTTTTTTAAATTTTTATTTATTTTTTTATAGAAAGGAAGGGAGGGACAGAGAGTTAGAAACATCAATAAAAGAGAAACATCGATCAGCTGCCTCCTGCACAACCCCCACTGGTGATGTGCCCAAAACCAAGGTACATGCCCTTGACTGGAATTGAACCTGGGACCTTTCAGTCCGCAGGCCGACACTCTATCCACTGAGCCCACCTGGTATCGGCTGTAAATTATTCTTTATTTCAGTTAGTATGCTTAATTTATGACTGGTCCTTTTTCATGTCTTTGACATGCTCATGAAAATCCTTAAAAGTCTCATGAAGATTCATTATAACCATGGTTTGAATTCTGTATTTGGTGATTTGCTTGGCTCCATTTCTTTCATCTGAGACATGTCTCTGTTTCTGCATTTTGGCTGCTGCCCTGTGTTTGTTTCAATGTTTTAGATAGAGCTGCCATATTTCCTAAAATTGATAGAGTGGTCTTGTGTAGTAGGTGTTCTGTAGGGCCCAGTAGCTCAGCCTCTCCAGTCACCTGAACTGGGTCTTGGGCCTTTTATGGATAGGTTTGTGGCACATTGTCAACATCTGCAGCTTGCTTGAGATATTTTAGCAAAGTCTGAAGCCTGAGCCAGAACAGACCATTCATATGGAAAAGCTGCTGCAAACATCTTGGGTGAGCCTGAAAATTGGGTGGGGCTGAGTCTCAGGGAATCTTCAAGGTGGAGCAAGCAGTGTGCTCCAGGCTGATGGAGATGCAGATATGGCTGCTAGTCAGCCCTGTAACAGGAGAGGTCCCAGCACAGGAACCCCCTTGCAAGCATCTCCACCTGGGAGAAAGCCACACCTGAGTCCTGCCCTGATGCCAGA